ATTATGGTATATCGAAGAATTATTCAACTCGTTGCCTATGTATTGTCATTTTCTTCTTTATCTTTACACACTACGATTTTCCATCATTTAATTTTTCTGTTCTTCCTATTTTTTGGCATGTATTCTATCATTCTCTCCCTTCTCCCTTCCAATACAAATAAGATTATCCATTATCTCATACCTCTGCTTTTCTCTAACCCTTTGCCTGTATCTTCTCATTCTTTCCCTTATTCCTTCTAATGCATGTAAGTTTATCCTTTATCTCATACCTCTGCTTTTCTCTAACCCTTTGCCTGTATCTTCTCATTCTTTCCCTTATCCCTTCCAATGCATATAAGTTTATCCTTTATCTCATACCTCTGCTTTTCTCTAACCCTTTGCCTGTATCTTCTCATTCTTTCCCTTATCCCTTCCAATGCATATAAGTTTATCCTTTATCTCATATATCTGCTTTTCTCTAACCCTTTGCATGTATCTTCTCATTCTCTCCCTTATCCCTTCTAATGCATGTAATTTTATCCTTTATCTCATATATCTGCTTTTCTCTAACACTTTGCCTGTATCTTCTCATTCTCTCCCTTATCCCATCCAATACAAATACGATATATATATATATATATATATATATATATATATATATATATATATATGACGAACTCGAAAGGATTTTGTGACACGTTTCATCATCATCGCCATCATGAAAACTATTTCGATTTGAGGTCATGAATTAACATGTTCTCTCATCATCAGTGACTTTCTAAACTGATGCGAGTTTACGGAGTCGTCGCAGATCTTCCTTGATTGCAACCTTCTCCAAAGAAATAGTGGGATCTTTGAATGTCTCGATTCGTCGTTGTGACTATGGTGGTTATTGGATGACCTCTGAACTTTCTGAATTCAGTCTTTTCAAAATAAAATTCCATGGATTTGTTAGCTGGCCATTTTGGATCCATTGTGCTTGTTGATATTCGTATTTTTTTTCTTGAAAAGTGAGCTATATCACAGGCACACGGTCTGATACTTTCCAACATTCATGTACATTATTCCCCCAAATTTGTTTCCATTCTGTTTCTAAACATATCAGCTGGCGTTTATTTTTGCCAATGTTACTGTGAAGACCAGGTCCAATTTTTCAGTTTCCGAATACTGTCTTTCTCAGTATACAACGTTTTAAATAAGTAATTACAGTTTAGCAGTAACTGGAACAGCCATTACCTACTCCGCCAACATATATTTCATCGAACTGGGCTTTGATAACATTGCCACATCTACACATGCGCACGAGACGAGATACGCAGATATCAAAAAGGTATCAAAAAAATATTTTCAAAGAATATTTTTGAAAGAATTTTTCTCAATCATCTGTATTCATTTTCTTTATCTCTCTACTACCTGTGTTCCTAATTTTTCTCAATACTGTTTGTTGATATATAAAATTATACACAATTATATATCGTTATATATATATATTTCTAGCACTTAAAAGAATCCAATAAAACACCTACAGTAAAATGGAAATTAATAAGAAAAGCTAGAATATGTAGGTCATTAAATGATCCATGTCCTTTGTGCATACATGAGAAACTATATATTATTAAATTTATAAAAAATAAAAAATTACTGAATCAGAGAAATGAAATAGCTATTCTTTCCCGTCATTGTCAAAAATTTTCCTTAAATAATTTTTAAAAATAAAATAAAAAATGGAAGCTGGTAATATACATAATTATATTTAATATGAAAAAATAATTTTAAATAATTTAAGTAATTCTATTACATTTACTTGTTTTAAAAAGAAATATAGTCTATTAATAATTAAGAGTAAAAATATTTTAAAATTGTAGTTAAATAAAACATATTCTAGCCTAAACACCCCTAGATAGAATCTTTAAATATACAAGTACAAAAAAAATGTCGAAAAACTTTTTGCCGTTAAAAAAAAACAAAACAAAAATCAAACGACATGCATTTAACGGATGTCAGAATTCGTTGAAAAATAAACCCCAACCCTCCCTAAATTTAACCTCTTTTCCGAACGTAACTCATAATTGATACAACAATAGTTAATAAAAATAAACACGCTACCGCCCCTGTAAGAATTATTGGATTTCTCTGCATCCTTGGAAAAGGAAATTATGAATTAATTTGTGTGTTTAAAACTCATTAAATTTAAAAATAAGTTATTCCAATATTCGCTTGATGCTGAAACGGAACTAATGATTTTAATTTAATTATATAATTAAATTTAAAGTTTTAGCTTCAGTTTTTGAAACATGGTTATTACTGTGTAGCGGAAAAAAAAACATATTTTAAATCAGTTAATATATATATATATATATATATATATATATATATATATATATATATATATATATATATATATATGACGGTCACCCGCTCGTTTGAAGTAAAATGTTACCGGTGAATGAGAGGTTTCCTCCATCAATCTCAGGGAATCCATTGATAATCGCGTGATTGAATAACCTGTGCAACAACGTGTGGTCACTAAGAATAAGACAGCCTTGGTTCAATGAAAAGAACCAGTCAAAATAATTAAAAACGTCATTGCCGCATTACGATTCGAGTAGTCTGATGGTAAGATTCTCTCGCTGTACTAAATACCAGAACGAAATCAAGAGGAATTGACATCTCACATTGCTTACAGTACCGTGAGTTCCCAAGCGATCCTACGTCAATTTAATAACATGCCTCGACCTTGGCTATATTCAGTGATCGTTATTTTCAGATTGATTTGAGCATAAAGTCTGTTACTTTCTTTCTCTCTCTCTCTCTCTCTCTCTCTCTCTCTCTCTCTATATATATATATATATATATATATATATATATATATATATAAGAGGATATTGTGTTAAATACTCAGCATGGACAGTTTGTTTCATGCTTAAACTCAATCTTTAGGCCATGTGTTTTGGCTCGACTATTTATATAGGTAAAACAATGGTGCATTGTATTATATTAATATTATTGGGTAAGCGGTAAAGTTTATGTTTCAAATTATTCTCATAAATTATTTTTTTAACGTAGTACAAAAATTAGGAATATGAGGAAATCGGATGTTAATTTCTGAAATCTCCTGACGAGAGGACCAAACGTTTAAGAAAAATTCTGCTATGAAACTCTAGGGTTAGTATACTGAGTATAACATTGTGACAATATTTATTTTTTTTTAAATTATATATATATATATATATATATATATATATATATATATATATATATATATATATATAAATGCTGTTTTTTTTCAAAAATTCTAGTTGCTAGAGAAGAGTTATTGTGCATGATTAAGAAGGTTGTGTTAAATATATTATAGTATATAATTAGTTTTAATTTTTTACTTGTATTATATTACTACTGATGAGATATTTTGTTACTTTTTCATCTTGTTTATAGTTAGAATGCATTTGGTGGCTGTAAAGTCGGTTGATATATTTAGTGTCATTTAAGGATGTATTATTTTTTTTTTTTTGGTTTATGTTAATATTTATAATATCTCGTCTAATTTGTTCATCAATAATGTAATTACGAAAGTCATTATCAATGAGAATTTGTTTAATGATTTTTTAATTCAGTTTTGAAAATTTATTTCGTGAAGTTAAGTTTGACACTGTGTATCACATTTTTGTATAATAGATAAATAATCTTTTATATGGGGAAGTAGTATTATTACTGCCTACCAATACATCTTTCTAACAATATACAAGAGGAAAAAGTCATAAAACATCTCATAATTATTAATATATTCCCCACTGATCCCAGTAAAAATTATATATTTATCTATTATACTAAATTCAACACAACCAACTTAACCATACGCAATATATATATATATATATATATATATATATATATATATATATATATATAGGCAAGTATAGGATTGGTGTATACAGAATAAATTCCAAATGCAAAGAATGCTATTCTTAAAAGACTGCACAATACTGATTAGAGCAAATATATTTATTCGAAAATCAAATCAAACATGTTATAAAATCACTACAAAAATAGCCATTTTGTTTCAACACTTCTGGTGTCTTATCAAGTGATGATGTTTTAGTGATTTTATAACATGTTTATGTTATAATTTTTGAATAAATATATATATATATATATATATAGATAGATAGATAGATAGATAGATAGATAGATAGTAGAGAGAGAGAGTTGACATAGAATCAAATATGGACTGAAATCTGACAGAATAAGGAAGAAATGTTTATTTTTATATAAGGTTCTTCACTAATTTTTTAGAAATGAATTGTGGAAGAGAATATTCCGGTACATTTGAGTTCTGAGTTCTCAGATAAATGTTTATGTCGTTATGTGTGTGTACGTGCGCGTGTGTGCGGTCGGGCGTCTGGATTCTATTGTTCATTTGGTGTCTTCCTCTGGTAGTGTCCGTGTGTTTCATTCTTAAAGATGGTACTGGGAGAAAGATGGGAAGACTCTGCCTGTATGTGTGTCTATCAAATTTCTAATTGTCTTCCGGGTCAGTACACGTGTTGGCTGTATATTATTAATGATTTCGTGAATTCTCTGGTTAAGGAAAAAAAAAAAAAAACATGTGTATTGGGAAATCTGGAGGAATGTGGTTGGATGTGTACTAGTTGAATTTTAATACCATTTATTATTGTTCTTAGAAGTTTATCAGAAGATATTTGGTGTGCTGGATTGAAAGACAGTTTACATAGTTCGCTGTTATTAAAACGTTTGAGTGATTTGTCTTTTACGGTTTATCAACCCTTTGCTGCTTATTTAAAACCAGAATATATTTTTAGATTACATGAATTTCTTTGAGATATTTTATTGATAAAAGTTATACCGATTAACCCATATCTGTGGGCTAGAAGAGATGGATCTATACTTTTCCCAAGCGAATTTTCACGTAAGCCAATGTAACGAACCCATCTGGAATTTGAGCTCCGTTCTTTCAGCTCGAATTCCGATCCGTTATCCATTACACCACCCGCACATCCAAGCTTACAATACCTGGTATTCCCAAGCGGTCACCCATCTTGGGAAATATCAGGCCTGGCGTTGCTTAACTTTGGTGATCGTCCGAGAATCGGTGTTTCAACGTGATATGGCCGTAAGCCTTTTTATATTAAATTAAGTTATATACGCTAATCTTAATTCATGACAGTTAATGCTAGACAACCGAGGAGGAGACACATGATTCGGTAAACATTCCCTGTTTTGTCCCTGTTTGGAGACGATGGTTGACGAAAAGAGCAATAGGCCTGGATGGAGGCCTCGTGTTCTCTAAACAACAAGATCCCACCTGTCATTGTGCAAAAGAATAAGTTAACCAATATAGTTTGCTACCTGCTTAGCTAAAAGAGTTACTGGCAGTTGATAAAATACGCCATTCTACCCCTGATATTTGTAGATCCTATTCATTATCGACCTCCTCTCCCGAAGATATCCGAAAGATATCAAGATTGGCGTTGAATTTAGAGTCTTAGAGAAGGCAAGGCAGCGGAAGGTGCAAAAGAACTTATCAGAGTATCTGCTACGGTCAATTTAAAATCGGCATCGTTTTTCATAGCGTGGCAATTTTATTTTTCATGTCTGCATATACATAACAAGATATACCAAGATCATCATCGCCAATTAGCCAATCTTGCTTTCTCGCAGTGAGTATCATTTCTTCTCTCTTCTGCTCTCTCAGACAAGCAACGTTAGCCAATTCCAAAACGCTTTCTCTGCACTAAACTCATCGCTTTAACCCGGGTAGAGACTAAATCAAACTTTGAATGATAGTGGCTTTTCGATTTTTCTGTAAAACAGAATCCAAATTCTCTTTGAAGTTTGAAATCGAATATGAAACGGACATCCTTAGTCTTTATATTACAGTAAATTTCCTGCTAAATCCCGTCACTTCCAAACTCACACCAAACAAAACACGATGGTTTATATTTATCTTATTGATTTTCATTCTACTTATCTTAATCAGACCCGAGGTCAAATCTCTAGGATACACAGTAATGGCTGAATTCGCGAAAAATAATATGGTCTGCCAGATTGGCGTGCATCAGATTACTGCGAAGTGACTTTTGCTTTAATTAACTATGCGTGGGTAGGCAGAAAACCTTAGAATTCGAGGGCCTATTCAGAAATTAAACCATGAGACTAATTTAATAAACAAATCTCTCCTATAAGTAGTCATTATTATCATATAGTTGTCGGTTGATTTTCGAAGACAGAATGCATGGTTATCAGTAAAATGATTAGTCTAAAGTGCAAATTATATGTCGGATACTAAAATCAAACAGCTACAAAAATTTAACTATCACGGAAGTGTTCAAACAGAGGATGGAGAGTGCGACACTGAGATCTGAAGACGTATTGGGATAGCCAAAGATAGCCTTCCAAAAGCTAAGCAAAGTATCAAGAGACCGAAAATAATCGTTGTAAACAAACAAAAGAATACTGAACTGTTACGTGATATCTATCGTCCTGTATGGCAGTGAATGCTGGACAATCACCTCGAAGATTAAGAAGAGACTCGAAGCAACAGAAATTTGGTTCTACAGAAAGATGCTGAGGATAACATAGGCCGAACATGCGAGCTTTTGGAGAATATGGAAACAAAAATGAAACTTATACTTAACATCAGGAAGAGGCGGTTGAAATTTCTGGTTAACGTAAAGAGGAAGGATGGCTTAGAAAATTTGATACTCACAGGACAGATCGAGGGAAATAGGGACAGAGGAAAGCAGCGCGTAACATATTTGATGGGCTTGAGCAAATGGATGTCAGAGCAGGGTGTGGGAGAAATAACAAAAAGACAAAACTTATTAAGAGCTACAAAGGACAGGAAGATGTGGAGGGCCATGATCGCCTACACCCTGCAGCGACACGGAATATAAAAGAAGAAGAATTTTTGCTGACGGCCATAACACGTTGAAACACCGGTTCTCGTACGATCACCGAATATAAGCAACGTCAAGCAGGGTCAGTACCTAGATGGGGGACTTGGGAATCCGTTCCCTTAACCCTAACAGTTTTTAGGATAAATGTTTTTTCTTTCTAAAGAAGTAAAACTTATACCACTTTTCGAATATGAGAGTACTAATCTATGTTGATAATTGCCATGAAGAAAAGACATGACACAACAGAAATGTCGTTCTGCAGAAGGATGCTGAGGATACTATGAACCGAACATGTGAGCAACAACGAGGTTTTGGAGAGAATGGAAACAAATAAGGAACTTATACTGAAAATCAGGAAGAGGCGGTTAAAATTTCGGGTTAACGTGATGAGGAAGGAGGGCTTGGAAAATCTGATACTCACAGGACAGATCGAGGGAAAGAAGGACAGAGGAAAGCAACGCGTAAAATATTTGATGAGCTTGAGCAAATGGATCGTAGAACAGGGTCTGGGAGAAATAACCCAAAAGACAAAACTTAATAAGAGCAACAAGGAACAGGAAGATGTGGAGGGCTATAAACGTCTACGTCCGGAATTGATACGGCACAAAAGAAGAAGAATGTCTACTGGCATTCGCAAGCGATCAAATGAATCTAATTCTAGACTCTACACATCAGTAAATTGAAATAAGCAAATAAAGAAATTGAGCATAGAATAGGCTACGCTTGAGGTAGTTCCTTGACAGATCAAGACATTCATATGGCTGTCATGCATGGCGCCAGACTTGTTTAGAAATATCTAAACTGTCAGTTGTATACAATCCCTTCCTAAGATGAATGGTGAAAAAAAAGCTTTGCTCGAGTGAAAGCTGTGGGTCTGAACGAAAACCAGAGACGTGTGGAATGACACTATAGAATAAACACCAAAGAACTATGCCAAGTAATAGAAAGGACATTAGCTGAGGACTTTCAATATCAGGAACAGCTAAATTGGAAATCACACTGAATTCAAAGAGAGAATAATGGCATAATCATGATGCTGAACTTTCGTGCTACATCAAACAAAAGGTTCCAAAGAAAAACACCATTTATACCGGAAAGAGCGATAACATCTACTGGATTTGACAAAAGTCTTTTCCTGAAAAAAATATTTTAATTTTATTTTATGAATTTCAACCGACAATAGTACTGGCTGTTCGATGAAAAGATATTGCAGTTTTCCTTATAAGGAAACTCTTAATATTACGATTACTGTTACTATACATGATTCTGAATTCAAATTTACCATTCTCGTTGATCGGTCTCTGCTATTGTACTCATAGCTAGGAAAATAGAGGTGGGGTGGATTCTTGCTTTTTCCAAGATTATCAGTACGAAATAAACACTATCGCAGATTTCTTTTTGCAGGGTGTTAACATTTATACCACCGACATTTACAAGTACCTCGCTAATCATTGCTCTCTACATCTTCCCATCGTTTATTGTTGTAAGTAGCCCTTGAATATTTACTATCGTTCTTTATCCCTCTTCTGCATCCACTCGCACGAAGGCGTTGGTTATTTTGCCTGAGGTTTCAGTGCTTCTCTTGATTGCATAATTCCTTTTTTTATTGTTTTATTTTTGTTAATCAAAACCAGTCAATAATACCACTGGGACGTATGTGAGGAAGTGAAGAGAAAGAACAAATAAAAGTGCAAATATCATGATGGCACAAGACAGCGATTGAAGTTGCATTTAAATATTGAAAAAAATTATTTAGCAGGGAAACAAGAAATCAGAAGGAAGTTCCACAGGCCAGAAGTGCGATAAAATAAACTATTAGAATAAAACATTCGGTCAGATCTAGGATGATTGATTTTGTTTAACGGCGTATCATCACCTCTATTATTTAATACCGAAATCTAAATATTTTGAACACAATGTTTTGGCTTCAACTACAGATAAACTGTATTGATGGTTAGTATATTGTAAAATTTATTGCTGCTCATTTTACCATGAACATATATTGTTGGTTATTTCTTTTATATAAAAATGTCTTTTTTTAAACTTTCGTAGTATTTTATTTCTGTTTGGGGCTTCACGATTTGCCCATGTTTGGGACCCGAACAGGTGCTACCACTCCGGGCCAGGGTGGGCCTGCGAACAACAGCAATTAAGCGGTGGTTCCCGCTCCTCAGAACCTCCAATCTCGCGATTAGAGACCTTACTGCAGGATATGGTTTATCATATCCAAGTCTTTTAATATAGGTAGTTCAACAATAAAATAGTGTGATTTAGTTGCAGGAAATCAAAAAATTAAAACTCATCAGAGCAACTGACAGAAAAAATAAAATTTCTAGAAAAGACAGAGGGAAGTCACGTGACATTTGTGAGAAACTGACTGATGTCAGGTCAAGATTGATGGCATTACCGACACTGGATTTTTTCAAGAATATAGCAGGAGCATCAGACCAGATGTAGCAGAAGTATTCAATGCATGGACAAACGGTAGATTTATAAGTATGCAAAACGGATTCTGACAAGAAAAATCGCTTTGCACAAAATAGTGAACCAATTTTCCTTTGATGAGCTGTGTCTTTTTTCTGATAGTCATACATTCTGTTCTTCTCACAGTGAATATTGTCCTTTATTACTTTCTTTGATTTATTAATTTGGCAAAGGTTACTTTCAATTATCTGACTGCGTTTGCCATAATCTCAGTGTCATCTTTGCATCTTATATTTTTATGTCAACAAGGTGCTTCAAGAGAAAACTATTTTTTTTTGTATCCGAATATACAAACTGATTTGGTGCTACGAAACCAGACTGAGATAACTGAATTGCATTCTGTATGCAGAGAAATCATTAAGAGATGGGAAAAGTACATACAAGTATGGCGTTCTTTACAATTCACATATTTTAGGACTACCGGGTATTCGTTTCAGATACTTGATTGCTCTTCTTGATTTCCTTCGCAAAGCCTTATAAACAATAGATATTGTTGTCTTAAGATGCCACAAGTGATTTCTATCTAGAGATCTTTGTACTAACCTCGTTTACCATAAAACAGGTGTTTTCATAAGGATTTTTCAGAATTTTGTCTGGTGGATTTGCATGGAACACTGAAATTATAAAGGATAATATTATCTCCCTTCTATACAACTTGTGGTAGCCCATGTTAACAATACTTTTTGCTAAATATTGGCCATACTGAGCAACCATATTATTATTATTATTATTAT